GATTAACACTACGAGTGATATTTGAAAAATGTGCCAAAATTGCACGAGCCGCCGAGGCGAGTGCAATTTGGCACATTTTTCAAATATCACGAGTAGTGTTAATCATTAATTGCGCGACTTGCCGTGTGATTATTTATTTATTATATGCATGGCAAAATCGCTTTCTTTATATATCAACTGCATTTTGTCAAGAGTTTTTAATTCTTTTATATGCAATTTGGTATAAACAAACTTGGGAAATGATTATAAACTTATGAAGGCACATATCTTAAACTAGAACACAAGATTCAAACTCAAACAACATATTTTAGACTAAGAAAATCTTTATAAATTGTATTTCAAACTTACATAGTCACGTTCGCTGCATCCCGCCAAGATTATTTCTTTAGACTGTTTCCTGGTATTTTCCACAGGCTCTTTTTGCCATACAATGTTTCTTAAACTCAATCTTGTGCCAAAATTCAGTTAAATTCGTCCACATTTGTTAGAAATACTTATCTAAATTTTGCCGCCATATTGGATTTTGTTGTTTTGATTTCCCGCTCCCCCCCCCCAGCCATCACGAAAATCATTAATTGCACTCCTGGAGAGTGCAATTAATGAAATAATTGCACTCCTCTTAACCAATCAGATTGCAGTAATTTTGTCATGTATATAATAATACATGTAAAGCGCATTTGGTCATTAATGTAAAGCGCAGTTGATCACATCCATATGTAAATTTGCGCTATAGAAAGTTTCTAGAAATGTTAACCGCCATGGCTGACCTTATATGGAGTTTTGACATAATATTCAACGGAATGACGTCATAGCGTTGAATATGAAAAAAAAAAATGTAACGAGGTGCCGTAATAACGTTGAGTATAAAAAAATCATATTCAACCATATGACGTCTTGCAATGGAAATACGAATGCAAAATGTGGAAACACGACCAAAACAATATGGCGCTGCCTTCGGCCGTGATGCCAGCAAACTGCAGGTTTAAAGGAAACAACTTTTACAATATAGAAGAAGAAATATTAAAAACAGCCACGAAAGGTTTTGAAACACCTTAAGATACTTGTGATAGAAAAAGAAAAGATTTGGGGAAAAGAGCTGGTCATTATTTCGACGAATTGAACCCACAAGTGCGGATGTCTTTCCCATCTTTTAAATAAATAAAACGATCATTGAATTTTATTTTCGACAGATATATGAAGAAATATCAAGCCCTCATAGCACAAAGTATATAAAATGACTGTAATTGGTTTTATAATACAGAATCATCAAGTTTTAGAATCCTTTATATCCTAATTATTTTATATTAATTGTATCCAATAACTATGTTTCATGTTCAATAGTTATGGTTACAGAAGTCTAGGTTCTCTAAAGTTTCAACAATCCTCAAAGAAAACTAACGTCCATGACATAATGGAGGCTGACTTTGCAATATTCTGTTAATTATATGCTCGAGTAAAACTGGCCGTGCAAAATTAGTGCCCTCACCCCGGACCATCGCCCGGTGACGCGCCGTTGTCTCGGGAATTAAGCCCGCTCTCTTTAAGGTAAGATCTGGCTAATAATACGTACCAGAGATATCATGTAGTAGTACAGGAAATTAATTTCCCATATAGATGAAATCCTGGCAATCCTAGTAGGGCTAAGTAAAAAGCGCTCCACGTGAAATTTTGCCTTTCAAGTTTTTCGATTCAAATATTAACCTCCAGAAAAATATCTATGCGATTGTGTATTGGCTATTTTTTTCCGGCAAAATGTCACTATTCTTGACTTGGTAACTACAAGGAAATGAATGAGTTTCAGGGTTACCATTTAGTGCTGCTTGCGGCAAGCAGATGGCTAAACTTTCGCATACATGTAAACGCTGGTTGGGCTAGTAGACTTCATGTAAAACTCTTGTAAACACCAATGGTCATGCATGGTCAGATAGAAATGAATTGATTTATTTTAAGGGGCACAAGGGGCGGGAGACTGGAAGGATTGACCTCATAGTTTATATGTTAAGAAATGCTTGAATGTCTTCATTAAATATACACAGATGTAATGGCACCAGTCCTGTGGTAAAAATCTCTTGTTGAGACTATCTGTCGAGAAGGTTCCGGCACGTTGAAATTAGGTACGGGTGCCTATTAGTTATCGGTGTCATATCAAAAATTAGTATGCGTAGTTGTAAACCGCGGCGCTATTAAATACGTATGCTTGTGATTAGATTCAGGAAGTTTTCGCTTAATTTATTTTTAAGGAGAACTTAAAATCTCTCTACGCCATAGTTTCTTATTCTTATTATCACATGCGGCAGCGATCCCATTCGCACCTAAGGTGATGTACTTTTTGTTAAATTAACGTGGCGTTCTTCCCAAATTGTTATTCTGTATTCAGGGCCGTACCTAGCATCTATAGGTGGGGGGGGAGGGTGTAGGACAAAAATTTCCGAATGACGAAAACATTAATTTCCGAATATTTCATGACATACGAAGCAACGAAGATGTTTGCTGTCCGGAAAATGAAGACGCAATTTACAAACAAAAATACGCATGTTTTGTGCACAGACATATTACAGAAGCATGCGGTACCGTAGGAAGCTCTTTTTGATTGGGGGCTGAATTGAAAACGAGAGCCGAAGGCCCGAGGAAATTTTAAATTTGGAGGCTCTGAAATGCCATTTCCTGGACTTTGGGGCAAGTTTTGACAGAATTATGATGGTCAGAAAATAGCGTTTTAGTATGTCAAAATTTACAGTTTGCTTACAATTTAGTAGAACTAAATGGGCAAAGGCGTATTTAATGAACTATATATTGGAGAAGTTGCAGGAAAGAGTGTGGGTAATATGATTTTTTGCGGTTTGTCATGGATAATATAGCCGCTTAAAATTGATCAATTTAATTGTCAGTATTTTAAAGGTATATTATTTAAATGATAAACGTGTGCATGATTTTGAAAACAGAATGATTGTTACCAAATTATTGTGAGGGCTGCAGCCCCCCCCCCGGTTGCTACGGTCCTGAGAAGTAATGCCCGTGATTTCGTAAATCAGTTTAAACTGACAATACAATTTTATAATATTTCTCTGTTTAAACAACTAAAATAGTGTGTTATACTATTATTGCCGTAATTTTCCGAATGGCACCCGATTTTCCGAATATGTTCATTCTAAAAATATTGGGGGGGGGGATTAACCCCCCCCCCCAATACGGAGCTTTAGATTTGACTACGAGTACGAGATTTGATCGCATGCTAGGAAATTACCGTAGTCGTTTTTGTTTCCAATTAAATGTTGTTTTTATAGCAGTAAATCAACAACGAGAGAAAAAGTTTCATAAACTAAATCTCCTGCAGACTAAAATCCCCTACAAAACGTGAAAATAAGCCATAAGATTAAAAAAAGATCAGATATTTAGTATTAATATATTATTTGCGCCGGATAAACGCTATATAAATGCTACAAATTATTTTTGGAAAACAAAAAAAGCCAACTTTCTTTGTTTTTTTTGAAAAGTCGTCGTGAGGACTACGAGATTTCTCCGCAAGTTCGTTCTTAGATGGGCGACGGCTACGACTTTTTCGCGTCAGTACGGGATGGCGTAACCATACAGCATGCGTTTAGTACTGATGGTACTGATGGCACTGGCTCTGCTGTCAGAGTCATCCTGTTCGATTATAGAAAAGCATTCGACCTTATCGATCATGCTTCACTGGCTGATAAAATTTCCAATTTAGCTATTCCACGTGCGCTTTCTCGCTGGACAATCGATTTTTTGATGAATCGAAAGCAGAGAGTGAAATTATCCAATGACTGATTTTCGGAGTGGGGTGATGTACTTTCCGGTATCCCTCAAGGTACAAAATTAGGGCCCTGGCTATTTTGTTTAATGATAAACGATCTTGATATTTGTGATATATCGAGGTGGAAGTTTGTTGATGACACAACAGTTGCTGAAGTAGTTAGTAAGGACACAGAGAGCCATGTTCAAGTCGCAGTTGATGTTGTGGAAGATTGGTCGAAGGCAAATGGGCTATCTCTTAACGCTGAGAAATGTAAAGAACTGAGAATCGATTTTAAAAAAATTGAACAACCTTTTGATCCTGTACTGGTGGGTGGAGAAGCATTGCCTATAGTTGAGAGTGCAAAATTATTGGGTCTTGTTATGACAGGCTAGGCACACTTCAGTGGAAAGATAACATCAGAGAGAGTATAAAGAAAGCTAACAAACGCCTCTATTTTATAGTATTATTAACGTAAATGTCAATGATGTTTTGAACTTTTATTGTACAGTGATCAGGCCTGTGCTCGAGTATTGTGCGCAAGCCTTCCATCATTCCATCCCAAAGTATTTGGCAGACGAACTTGAGACTGTCCAGAAACGTGCGCTAAAAATTTTATCTCCTGAAATGACATATTGTGAGGCCCTGAGTATTATAGACTGCCTACTCTATTTCAAAGAAGAGAGGACATGTGTGACAAACTCTTTACGAGTGTCATCAAGGATCCAATGCATAAACTTCATCATCTGCTGCCCCCGAAGAACGAGACTGATTATTCTTTCAGGACGAATCGGTATTTTAAAATGTACGTTACACGCACGAACCGCTTTTATAACTCTTTCATCCCTGCTATGTGTAGGAAGTTTGTAGGATAGATTTTATACTTATTTTAATCGAATTTTGATCGAGGGTGGGTTTTATAATATTGTATTAATAATATATTTATATGTAGTGCATGTGATAATATGTAATCCACGCAATTCAGCTTCTGGCTGCAATGTGGTTTCAATTTAATAATAATAATAATGTAAACACATTTTATTTCATTTCATACAAATATTAGTAACCAGCTCTCACTAAAGTATTATAGGCAACCTGGCTACATTATGGTACAAAAGATTAAGAAAAGAATACAATGTTAAACTAAGCTTAAAATATTTACAAATCATCAAAACGGAATTTCTACAGAAATGCTATTACAATGGTTATTTTAAAATACGTTCGTAAGGTAACAACGTAGACAGTGTCAAATAAGATAACTGTACATACACATGACAGCATGAATCCTACCAATATAAAAGTTCAGGGCAAGACCATTGTCTGTTTCTAGAGCAAAATATATAATAGCTTGTCCTTATGCAGCAGCCGGTTAGTTTTCTAATGATGAATTTTCTTTGCATATCGCTTAATCTTACTTCGTGGTCCAAAAAGTCATAGAACTGTTTACATTCCAATCGCGCCCATGCATAAGTTAAAATACGTTACTTTGTTAAATCGTTCTCTTAAAAAGTTACAAAGATCCTTGTATCGTTCCCTTTTCCTTAAACAGTTTTTT